GTGGAGAAATCACCAGGAACAAACAACTGAACAATAATGAGAGAGGATCCTTATAACCTCAGGCAGATAGAAGAATTAGCTTTAGCACAACCCAACTAATAAAGAGTGCAGTAGGGACTTGAGAAGGTGGGTGGGGCATCCACGGGTGGTAGCACCAGACAGATATTGAAATGGCCATTGGATCCCTTGTGAAGAGCGGGGTCTAAACCATAAGTGGGGATCTCCAGCCCACAGCACCAGAGCCCAAAAAGTACACAGATAACAGTCACCTGCAAAAAGCAGCATGGTGGCTCTCTGCCAGAGACAGGTCGCTGGAGATGCAAAGAGTCATTTAAAGGTCCAATGCATAAATTTTTATTTACAGCCACTTTCCTTGGGCTTTGGTGGAGATAGTGCCTGAGTGGGCTGGAGGCATCTTGGGAAAGACTGGATAAGGAGGCTTTGGGGAGAGACCTGAGAGAGTAGAAGGTGGTATCCCAGTGTTGACTCCTCCCCCGGTCCACAGCAGCCATCTTCCTCAGGCAGCCGACTCCCTTCAGCAGCATCAGCGTGAGAGGACCAAATAGCCCCGCCCCAGGAGGGCCTTAGCCCTTCCCTGTGGTGTCTGTAAGCCGGCCTGCTGAATGCAGAGTGGTAAACACAGATAACAGGCCTCTGGCTAAATGGGTCACAGTGTGGTCTGGAAACACCTGAGGAGAGACTGGAGATGGAGGCTTTGGGGAGAGATCATAGAGAGTAGCTGGAGGGATCCCAGTGCTGACTCCTCCCCCATACAGCAGAAGCCAACTGGCTCAGGCAGACCACTCCCCTGAGCAGCAGCAGTGTGGGAGGACCCAATAACCCTACCCCCAGGAGAAACAATGTCCCGCTCTGTGGTGTCTCTAAGCCTGACTGCTGAGGGCAGTGACTAGATTAACAGCTGAAGGAAACAGCCACAGAGAGTAGATCTCTGGAAGTCTCGAACAGATAGCTTAGGGTTAGACAGGGTCAACATCTGACATCATCAAAGGCAGATCCAGAAAGGGGAAAAAAAAAAGACACTGGTCTCCTACCATAAAAGTTCACACTACAAATTCAGGAAATCAAGGTAGATAAATTTAAGAAGCAGAAGCAAAAAAGAAGTCTCACAAATAATGGGACACAAAGAAACACCCCCAAGTTAAAGAGAAAGGAGGAATCCCCAGAAAGAAAAAAATAAAAGAAATAGAAGGAAGTAAACTATCAGATATTGAGTTCCAAACAACAGTTCTAAGGAAGCTCATTGAGCTCGGAGAGCTCAGAGGGAATTACAAAATACTACAGGGAAAATACAAGAAACATAGTGCAAAATTTATCAGCATGAAAAAGGACATAGAAACTATCAATAAGAGACAAAAGGAAATCTAGTTTAAAATTTCTGAATTGAAGGACAAAGTGGAAGAAATCACAAGCAGGCTTGATGAAGCAGAGGATCAAATCAGTGAGCTTCAAGAGAAGGTAGAAAAAAGGTCCCAGAAAGAACAAATAAATGAAAACAGTATCAAAAAGAATGAAGATGTGTTGAGGGAAATGCAAGGCAACATGAAACATGATCATATCCATATAATAAGGATACCAGAAGGAGAAGAAGAGGAGCAAGGGATAGAGAACATAGTAATGAGCAAAAACTTCCCTAATTGGAGGAGAGCAAAGATCACACAAGTCCAGGAAGCACAGAGGGTCCCATTCAAGAGGAACCCAATGAGGCCCACTCCAAGACACATCATCATTAAAATGGCAAATGTCAAATACAAACAGAGAAACCTAAAAGAAGCAAGGGAGAAACAGGTAGTAACTTGTAAGGGAGCTCCAGTATGGCTAGCAGCTGACTTCTCACCAGAAACACTGCAATCCAGAAGGAAATGGCAAGAAATACCCAAGGAATGAAAAGCAAAGTCCTGCAGCCAAGACTGCTCTACCCAGCAAAGCTCTCAATTCAAATGGAAGGCAAAATAAGGAGTTTCCCAGACAAAAGAAGGCCATAAGAATACACCTCCACTCAACCAGCATTGCAAGATATGCTAAAGGAACTGTTTTAAGGAGATGAAGAAAAAGAATCTATGAATACCCAGTTCCTTTCACAGTCACTAATACTTGATATTACCAATATTTTTAATACTTATTAACCTTATTGTGACAAAGTTGTGTTATTTTAATTGTTACTTGATTACTTGTTGAAACTAAACCTGTTTTTGTACAGGTTTTAAACCTGTAGATTTCTTGCCTAAATCTATTCTTTTTAAAAAGCTTTAAATGACTTTTTGGTATTCTTTATCCATTTTTTCATTAAATGTTTGTAGAATATTGTCCCCTCCCCCCAAAAAAAACTATTAACCCTCTTTTAGATATGTTGCAAATACTTTCCTATTCTATTGCTTATCCTTTAACTTCTTTTACATGAATATTACTGTATAGTCTTAAATATTTAATACAGTCATATTGTCAATATTTTACTTTATAGCTCCTGGGTTTGAATGTTACTTCAGGGTAAGAAAAATATTATTTTGTATTTTCTCCTAAAAGTCTTTAGATTTTACATATTGATTTTTAATTCACCTGAATATTTTTTGTATGATGTGTGAAATAGGGCTCTATATTTTTTATTTCAAATAATAATGTTCCATGCACCTTATTTATTGAATAAACCTTTTTTCCCCATTTACTTGAAATGTCCATTTAATTATATATTACATTGTTTTACAGATATATACTTTTTTCCACAATGCTCATTTTAGTTCATTGATCTACTGGATTATTTCTGTGTTTGTGTCATGTTGTTTTAATTGCTGAGACTTTATAATGTATTTACATTTTTTAAATATTTTATGATGGATCTTGACATTAAATAAATAAAATCAATCTGCATTTAAAATAAAAAAAGAAGGAACTCCTACCTATTGTGATATCACGGATGGAACTGGAGAGCATTATACTAAGTGAAATAATCCCATCAGTGAAAGACAAATACCATATGATCTCACCTATAAGTGGAATCTATTCAACAAAATAAACAAACAAAATAAACCACAGGCAAGGAAACGTAGAGCTGAATGAAAGTGACCAGAGGGTTGGGGAAGGAGGACAATGGTGGAAAGAAAGAGAAGGGACTAAACAAAGAACATGTTTGAATGACCCATGGACATGGGTATCAGACTGAGAGTTGATGGTGGGAGAGGCAGGCCAGGTGGAATTGGTGGGGAGGGCAATGAGGGAATAATTGTGACAACTGTAATAGAATAAACATGTTAAAAAAAGAAAATTGTACTTAAGAATCATAAAAAAATGGATACACAGTACAATATCAGTTGTCTAAGAAAAGATTAAAATTCAAATAATCAACATTGATTAATCTAAGACAGTAACTGAAACAAAGATCCATTATTCTATTACCATGTCAAACAGCTAGCATAAGCTTTTAGTTGTTCTCTTTAATTTAAATCTCAGTCTATTTAATTATGCCCATTTAATAGATATGTTAATAGGTTTGAAAGCAGAGGACAGCAGGTGTCTTGTGGTACTATGAAAAAATATTTTTTAACTGTAGTTTGGCAAAATGGAGTATATCAATACCTCAATATAACAACTTAAGGTCACAGGGGCTCGTTGCATCTTGACAGTAGGGTAGAACATTTTGAACATAAAATTTCTAATGTGACACTAAAATATTTAATGCATTATTTATTTCTAAGTAGTGTGTAAGGTTATTGTTTCTTTCTTTTTTAAAAATATTTTATTTATTCATTTTTAGATAGAGGAGAAGGGAGTGACAAAAAGAGGGTGAGAAACCTCAATGGTTGCCTCTCACACACCACCAGCCAGGGACCTGGACCACAACCCAGGCTTGTGTCCTGACTGGGAATCTAACTGATGACCCTTTGGTCACAGACAGGCACTCCATCCACTGAGCCACACTTGCCAGGGCAAGCATAGTATTTGTTAAGAAAATACCCTCCTACTAATGATTGTTTACTCTACCATTTATTGTGTGATTACGCAGTTAACCCCTAAGGGTAAATAAGTAGGAACTATCCTAAAAACTGAAGATTAAATTGTACATTGGATTTTTCATAAAAATCTAACTAGTAGTAATCTTAAAAGGTTACAAATACCACATTGGAGCACACTGCATTAGACACTTGTATTTATCATGGAGTTCTGCTTCAAAGACATATGTTTGTCCTTGGATACATATGTTTGCATTTATCTATAGCTGTATCTATACAGAGAGTATCTCTCTATAGAGATATATGTTTATATGTGGTTTTTAAATGTTTTATTTATATTTAGATTTTTATTGTTCGAATACATTTGTCTCCATTTACCCGCCACCACTTTCCCCTGCCCCTCCCACCCCCATCTCCTTACCTCAATCTCTCCCCACCTTGGTTCCATCCATGCATCCTTCATACATGTTCATCCCTGCTGTCATTAAGGGTAGTAGCTCTTTCTTTCTTTCTGCTGCGTAGTATTCCATTGGGTAAATGTACCATAGCTTTTTGATCCCCTCATGTACTGAGGGGCACTTACATTGTTTCCAGCACTTGGCTATTGTAAATTGTGCTGCTATGAACATTGGGGTGTATAGGTTCTTTTGAATTGGTGTTTTGGGATTCTTAAGTGTTTTCTTATTTTATGATTATATTAATTCAATTTTAGAGTGGAGAAGAGAGGGAGAGAAACATCAGCGTGTGGTTTTATTTTCCGCACCCCCTGCTGGGGACCTGGCCAGCAACCCAGGCGTGTGCCCTACACTGGGAATTGAACCAGCAATTGTTTGGTTCGCAGGCCTGCACTCAATCCACTGAGCCACATCAGCTAGGGCTGTATGTGTGTATGTGTATATATATATATATATATATATTCTTCATCACAGGTAAAAGACCACTAACTAAAATATTACTTCAGCTGAAAATACTGGAATAATGGAAAAATTCAGAATAAAGACAAAACTTAATGATACCCTAAACTATTTCTTTACACAGAAATAATTCATCCAGAAGATCTAATAGAAGAAAAGAAGAAAAGCTCTTCCCTCCTTCACTTTCTCCACTGCCAGAGGATCCTCCACACCATAGAAACATCAGTGGCAATAACATTTCCATCAGTCAAGACAAAAACATCCCTGTGATTGGACAGATCACCTCTGCAAAATCTAAGAAGAGTGAAAGCAAATTCTGTGCTACCTTTAAAGGAATACCTGTAAATATAAGCATCTTAAATAAATGTTATGATTGTCAGGTAGAAACAAGCTGACCCAACTTATGTAACTAGACTTGACCACATGGTGGTGTTGCAGGGGAATGGGAGGAAGAGGCAGAGAGAAAATATATATGTGTGCACACAAATACACAAACTCTTCATTATTTCAAATCTTTATTAGTCTAATTTAGGATCAGTCTTACTGTTCCAAATAAATTATTATGCAGAAACTCGGGGCTTTGGACATCCTTTGGTCCAAGCTTTTCATGTCTTGGGGGTGGGAACACTTCCAAAATACTTACCATAGCACCTGGTACATGGTAGGCACTGATCATTTAGTGACTAAAAGAACAAATGAATGGTATGGAATTACCCAAGGTCACTGAACTGGGGCTGGAACTCCAAGTTACATCTTTCCACCTCCCAGCTTAGTAGGTATGAATGGACCAGATGCTATGGTCAGTATTTTGGATGTGTATCCCACCCCCAAATATAAAGGTTTGGGCTAAAGGACATCAAAAGCCCTGAGTTTCTGCATAATTATGTTTGGAGCAGTAAGATTAGAATGAACGCTTGAAACCTATACAATCTTATTAACCAATATCACCCCAATACATTTAATTTTTTTAAAAGATGTTTATTTATTTTTAGAGAGAGGGAGAGGGCGGGACAAAGAGTGGGAAAAGAACATCGATGTGAAAGAGAAACATCAATCGCTTCTCGGGCACCTCCCAACTGGGGGCCTGGCCCACAACCCAGGCTGGTGCCCTGACTGGGAATCAAACTGGAGACCTTTTGGTTCATAGGGTGGCATTCAATCCACTGAGCCATACCAGCCAGGGCCCAATCAACTTAATTTAAAAATAAAAATAAATAAATAAATAAATAAATAAATATATAAATAAAAAGAGTAACTAAAATGATGGAATTTAAAAAGTGAATTTGTTGATAAAATAACAGAATTATTCTAAGCCCAACTGAAGCATTACCTAGTCCTTTGGATTTTTTGCACTGCTGCACAATTAGCATAGATAATTGAGAATTTGTATCACTTTTCATGTCCACACAGAATACATTTTCATCTCTCTCTGGTATAAGTACATAAACTGTGGGAACCATGAGCCATAGTGTCACTAGTAAATATTAATGACAATTTTATCTGCCTTGTAAATGCATGTATATGCAGAGGTAGCATCTGTATATGTGTATTCTCCTTTAAATGTCATATAAAAAGTAAATGAATGAAACTCAAAGACTTTTCAAATGTCTGGTGCCAAACTGGTGGACCCTGAACCAAAAGTACCCATTTAACATTCCATAGAAACCCATAAATCCTCTGAGCCATAAGAAAGCCAATTTATAGGTCCTCTATTATCTGAGATGACTGAGATACTGAGATTATATATATATGTATGTATATTATATATTTAATGTATATATGTATATTATATATAAGATACATATACATATATATAAATTTTATCACTGATATAAATTGTGTAATAGAATTGTCATGTTTAATATGAAATTTATGTATATATATGTATGCACACATAATATTTTCATTCACATTTAAAGATGCTGACTATAATTTTAGGAATTAAACAACATATTCTAAACAGTAATTACATTTTCAATCCTATTTTTCATACTGAATATAACTAATATTATAAACTCCAACTGTTGCTATTTTCTATTGCAAGTTTTTGGAGGGTATATACCATATCTAGGCAATTCTCTTTGTATAGTGCCTAGTATATTGTTGCAAATAATTAGGTGTTTAATACAAATGCTTTTATGATGATGACAATGCTCACAAGAATCGACAAATTCATTCTCACAAGAACTAAAAACTACTGAGAATTCTAATAAGTATGATTACCTTTGCACTTATAAATTGATCACTATTTTTTAAGGAAATCACTGTGTACCCTATTATACACCAATGCACCCCAATTGGGTACCCCAAGCACCCATTGCCTCTCCTTTGTCCATTCCTTCTTTCTATTAATGGTTTGAAATATGGGGAGAGTTTGTGATATATATTTTGCCCTAGTCTGGGAGCTAAAAGACTTGATGCATAGGACTTCAACAACTTTGGTCTATGACCTTGAACAAATTATGAAATCTCCATAAGATGAGTAGGTTTGACTAGATTATCTATAAGGCTTCTTCCAACTCTAGAAGTGTCTTAAATTTTGGGCTCTCAGAGACTTCTCTCTTCCAATTATGCATAAAGTCTCAAAGGATATGTTAGTATGGACAGAGGGCATGTTTATATAACTTACATAATCATGGCTGAATGCTGCCATTTCCAGTCAGATGTTCCAGGACTGACATTGATGTCATGTGCATGGTGGACATTTAGGGTTCTTGTCACATATTTTTACTATAGACAGTGGCACTCTCTTGGGCTGACTCCACTGTTTGGTCTGGGTTATCTGGCTCTGGCAGTAGAAACATAGAGCTGGCTTAGGAGTTTTAGAATACTGATTCTTTAAATGTATTTGGGCTGAATAAGAACCATGATAATTTTTAAACTATTTTCTCCATATCTATCACTATAATTTTTAGATGTGTGTTTAAACTCCCAGCACATTTATGTTAGTGAGCTCCTGGTAGTAATAATTTTTGACAATCAGAGAAGGTCCAGGATCAAGTAGAAAAGAGACTTTCAAGGCTATAAGAAATGCTCACATTTGTCTTTTATCTTTACAGTGACAATTTTGACTAAGCACAGATGCATTCATTCAACAAATAATTAGCAGCACTAGGCTGTAGCATAGGGTGGATGGGGTGGGGGCAGCAGTGTCATAAATCAGAGGTGGTTCCAGTGCTCAAAACACTCTCAAGCTAAGGTGAGCCATGAGACACGCACTCGACGAGCTAGAATATAAAATATCTGGTGATTGGTATCACACAGGAGGGATCAAGATAGACCTTTCAGATCTCTAAAAGGACCAAAGAAGATTGAGGCACTTCTGGCCATAAGGCAGACATAGGGCATTTTCCTGGAGAAGTCATTTCTTAAGCTGGGTCATGATAGATGAGTAGAGTTTAGACATGGAGGGAAGTAATTAAACAAAATGTATTATGTCAATTTAATAGAATAGTATTCAGCCTTAAAAAGGAAGGAATCTCTGACACATGCTCCAGCATGGATAAACCTTGAGGACACTTTGCTAAGTAAAATAAGCCAGCCCCGTAAAGACAAATATTGTATAATTCCACTTACATGAGGTAACTAGAGTAGTCAAATTTGCAAAGAAAGTAGAAGGGTAGTTGCCAGAGGCTAGAAGATAGTGGAATTGGAAATTTTTGTTTAATGGGGAGAGTTTCATTTTTGCAAGATGAAAAAGTTCTGGAGATTGGTGAGACAACAATGTAAATGGACCTAACGCTACTAAACTATACACCTAAAAATGGTTAAGATAGTAAATGTGCTATTATATGTATTTTACTGTAATTTTAAAAGTTAAAATGGAGTAAATTATCAGACAGTGAAAAAGAAAATGTAATGAAGGGAAGGCTTTTTTCAACTCTAAGAATCTGTATGAAGCAAAGCATGAAAGTAAAGAAAGCAGGATATGTTCAGTTTGGTGGGAGGTTCATGGGAAGGAGTAATAGATGATCAGGGAGGGCATTACATACCAGTAAAGGAGCTAAGCCTTAGTTTGCATCTGGGCAAAAGGTAGTGAAATATGTGCAGCTTTGTTTAAAAAGCTCACGCTGGCAGGCAGCTGATTGAGAGTGGATTTAAAAAGCTTAGCTTAGAGTTTGGGAGTCAGCCAGGAGGCTGTTTGATAGTCTAAGTCAGAAAACACAAGAGCCTGCACTTTGAGGCTTCCAAATAGGAAAAAACAGATTTGAGAAACATTGGGGAGATATGATGAATAAGAATTTGCAATTGATTGGGCAAGGTAATGGATAGAAAAATATTAAGAATGAAATAAAAGAGTGGTTTTCTTTTTTAAATTTTTTAAAAGATTTTATTTATTTACTTTTAGACAGAGAGGAATGGAGGGAGAAAGAAAGAGAATAAAAACATGAATGTATGGTTACCTCTTGTGTGCCCCCTACTGGGGACCCAACCTGCAACCCAGGCCTTTGCCCCGACTGGGAATCGAACAGGTGACCCTTTGGTTCACAGGTTGGCACTCAATCAACTGAGCCACACCAGCCAGGGCAGAACAGTGGTTTTCAAAAAGTTTTAGGAACATTATTATAACTTTTTGACATAAAATCATTTATAGAATTTCAATATATAAAGATGATTAAAGCAGAGCAGCTCAGATGGGAGGCAAGGTGGTGAGTACACAAGTTCCAATGTTCCTGGCCCAAGGATGGCTACAATACCCTTACTGACATGGATAAATCCACCCTTGGTGACAGGGAGGACCATCCTATAATTAAGAGAGATAGGGAGCTGTTTCGGTTATCAATTTGGTTTCAGAGAAATCTGAGGTCCCAATGGGCCATCTTGATGGAACTACCCAGAGGTGGTCATTACAGGTCTAGAGATTTGCAGAGAGTATAATATTGAGGTTTCCTTTTGGGATATACTGTTTATTATCAAATTTGTGATAATGCATACAGGGAGAAGAAGAAGCATCATGGCAAATATGTTCAGATGTAGATGAGCCAGGACTGTCCCATAGTTGCCAGTTAGGGAGAAAAGAGTCTGCCATGTGAAGAAGCATACAGGTGGTCTCGGGACACGTGCTATCACATAGTTAGAAATCTCACCACCTACTTTCTCTCTGGATCCCATTATGTTTATGGAAATGACAGGTCAGTGTGAATCTCAGAAGTCTCTTACCCATTTGATTTTTGACCTTGTCAAAATGAGCTTTCACCATCTGAAGACTTCAAAATGAGGAGGCATTCATGTAGCATTCACTTAGCTGTAAATGAGTCAAGCTCCTCATATGAATGAAAGGGCAGCTTTGGCCTTGGCCCCAATGTAATGATTATTGCAGAAAAATGACTGGTTTGATATTTGACTGCACTGGATCTTGTATCTTGCACAGTGACCTGACCTGAGTACTTACCCTAGTGAAATTTTGCAGGCTGGTTCTCTTATCAAAATTATACACCTCTACCTCACTCCCTCTCCTTCCCTCCCTTTCCCATTCTTCTCCTCTCACATCTCTTATTAGATTTAGACCCACTCCCTCTCCCTCCCTCCCTTTCCCATTCTTCTCCTCTCACATCTCCTATTAGATTTAGACCTTTGCCAATGGCTGTGTTCATGGGATGATGGGATAATGTGTCCCCAGTACGTGACTGGCTTAGTATTTGGTGTCATCATAGAACAAAATCTGTTAATTCACAGAGTTCATAAAATATACCAGGGTCACTATTTATCCTCAAGCTGTGTCCATGGTTTTCTTATCTCTTGCCTTGTTTGTTAGTGTGCTTCACATTCACATTATGAAAAGATGTTCTAAAAAACTAGACCCAATGGAAGTTATTTGTCCTCCTTTTTCCCAGGAGAGAGACACACCAAAAAAGGCAGCCTCTGCCACCGTTACTGTCACCAACACTGCTATTGCCACTGCTACCACCACTGAAATTGTCACTGCCCCTGTCATGGCCACTGCCACTGCTACTGCCACAGCCACTACCACAAGCACTACCAGTACCATTTCCACCACCACCTCTACTATTACTACTGGCCTAATGGGTAGCAGTCACCTGGAGATGACGTCCTGGGCAGCCCTGCCCCTTCTGTCCACCAGCACCACCAGTGTCCGGAGACCCAAGCTCACTTTTGATGACTCGTATGTTGTCCCCAGATTATCGTGGACCCAGTTTGGGAGTGGTGAATGGGAGGTGGGGTCAGTATGACTACTAGCACCATGCAATGTGTCACCTCAAAATAAGACTTCAGTAGCAGTTCCTATAGCCTTAAAAATATATCCCCTTTCCTCACACACTCCTATCCTTACAAAGAAATATATTTGACCCATTTTAATTGTCAATCTCTGTTACTGTTTCCAAAGGCAGGTGTTTAATTCTTGATTTTTGTCCTCCTTTCTTATCAATGTCCCCACATAGAACTGTGAGCCAACAAAGAGGTTTACAGCTCAATTTTATTGGATTTGTTTGGATAATTGGAACATTTGGGTTTGGAGGATGTAGTTATTTATCTTAATGAGCCATTGTGTACTTCAGATTTCATTTATAGAATTATTTCAAGGTTAGTTATTGTATGAATGATAACATTCTTCTGCCCGTCTCAAGGTGTTGTATAAGAATGGATTTATAACAAAAATATTTTTGATTATGCCATTTTAACTGAAAAGATGACCCATTTGCTTCTAAAAGAGGTCATTTTGTTTGTTTAGGGTTCACAATGCTGATTATTACATGCAAGAGGCTAAGAAGCTGAAGCACAAAGCTGATGCACTGGTAGGTTTCCTTCCTCTTGTTGCTTTGTTCCCATTAAAGTTTTATGCTTTGAAGGTAAACACAGAAGGGACTTTAAAAACAATACAAACTTTCTGATTGCTACTGTGATGTGGGGCGATTGGAACTGCTTAATTCCTTACACTGTAATTCCCAAATTTCTTTGCACTGTGTTATCCTGCCTTTCATGTATTGGCTTTTTCACCGTTCTTCCTCTTTCCCCAATTTCAGAAGCTCAATGGCATGTGCTATTATCATTGCCTTTCAAATGGATTTCAAATGACTGTTGAAATTGGTCTGGAGAAGGTGGGGGCTTTATTTTGGTCTGGTAAACCAGAAACTGGTGTAGGAAGGAAGAAGGTTTTTGAAAGCTGATAAAGCGGCCTCAAAATTTGGTTTTGCAAAATTCAGGTATGTAGAAAAAAACTCAGCTCCTTGCTGAATTTGACTACATGTTTCCAGAGTGAGACCCATAGTCAGTCTAGGACCCTGAAAAAAGAGGAATTTTGGTTACTTGGATATCTCAGGACATTTGGTCCTGCTGCCTCTAACTAAACGTTTTAGCAAACTAGAACAGTGATGAGCCCAGCATGTTGTGTTGTTCCTCAGGACTTGATTGATCCTCCTAACAGGGGGTCTCAAACATGTGTTGTTACAATTACTTTGGGAACTTTAAAATAACCCTGCTGCAGTGATCCAAGATGGCAGAGGAGTAAGTAGAAGCTACACTAAGAACCTCCCAGGACCAATCTGGAATTACAACTAAACTGCAGAAATCATCCTCAATAACCAGCTGAACACTAGCCAGAAAGAAGCCTTATAATCAGGGAATAACAGAATAAATCTCTTCACCATGACAAGACTGAATAAAGAGTGCAGAGGAGACACAAGAGGGCTGACTGGGCTCTCACAGGTGACAGCTGGAGTGCTGTAGGGATATTTCAGTGGCCAGAGGGTTCCTTCTGAAAAGTGTGGGGTCTAAACCCCAAGCTGTGTTCCCCAGCCAACAGGACCAGAGCCAAAAATGAACCCAGGTAACATCCAGCTGTGAAAAACAGAAGGGTTTCTGTCTGCCAGGGAGAGACAGCTGCAGATGCAGAGACCCCCTTTAAGGACCAATGCACAAAATTTCATTTGCATCCACTTACCCTGGGCTTCAGCTGAGGGACAGCAGAGTTGAGTAGAGTCTGGGTTTGGTAGCTTGGGGAGACAACTGAAGGAACAGCCACCAGGATTCCTGTGCTAAGTCATTCCCTAGACTACAGGAGCCATCTTTCTTAGGCAGAGCAATCCCCTCCCAGTGCTCTGAGTAGTATAGTGTTAACCCATTCATTATTTAATAGCATGTTATTCAGTCTCCATAGATGAGAATGTTTTTTGAGTTTTTTCTTGAGGTTGATTTCTAGTTTCAAGCCATTGTCATCTGAGAAGATGCTTGATATGATTTCAATTTTCTTGAATTTATTTAGGCTTGTTTTGTGTGCTACCATGTGGTCTATCTTTGAAAATGTTCCATGCACATTTGAAAAAATGTATCTTTTGATTCCTTGGGGTAAAAAGTTCTGTATATATCAGTTAAGTCTATTTGATCTAGACTGTCATTCAGTGCCACAATATCCTTGTTGAATTTTTGCTTGAAAGATCTATCCATTGTTGGCAATGGAGTGTTAAAGTCCCTACTATGACTGTGTTGCTGTCAATAACACTATTTTTGTTTATTTTCATTTAAAAAATGTTATTGTTCAAGTAACAATAACAAGTAACAAATGGAGACAATTTTTCCTGACACCACTTTCCCACGCCTGATACCCTCAACTGACACCAACAATCCTACCCCACTTGGGCTTTGTCCATGGGTAGTTTATCCATGCAACTTGAGGATCCTCCCCTTCCTCCTTCTTTATCCACCTCCCCTCCAGTTACTACTGTCAATTTGTCTTTTATTTCCATGTCGCCAGTTATATTTTGCTTGTTTGTTTGTTTTGTTGATTAGGTTCCACTTACAGGTGAGATCTTATGGTGTTTGTATTTCACCACTCGGCATATTTCACTTAGCATAATGCTCTACAGTTCCATCCATGCTGCTGTGAAGGAGGAGCTCCTTCTTTCCTACTGCATTGTAGTACTCCATTGTGTAAATGTATCAAAATATTTTGATACACTCATTTACTGATGGGCACCTAAGTTGCTTCCAGCTCTTGGCTACTGCAAATTGTGCTGTTAGAACATTGGGGTGCATAGGTTCTTTTGAACTGGTATTTCAGGATGCTTAGGGTATAACCTCAGCAGTGGAAGCACTGGATCAAAAAGCAGTTCCACTTTTAGTTTTTTAGAGTTATTCCTTACTGTTTTCCACAGTGACTGCACCAATCTGCATGCTCACCAACAATGTATTAGGGTTCCCTTTTCTCCACAACCTCACCAGTACTTACTGTTTGTTGATTTGTTTAAGATGGTCATTTTGGTCAGTGTGAAGTCATAGCTCATTGTGGTTTTAATTTGCATCTTACTGATGGCTAGAGATGCTGATCATCCTTTCATATGTCTCTGGGCCCTCTCTTTGTCCTCCTTGAGGAAGTGTCTGTCCAAGTCCTTTGCCCATTTTTTAATTGGATTGTTCGTATTCTTGGAATGGAGTCCTGTGAGTTTTTTATATGTTTTGTAAACCAAACCCTTGCCCAAGGTGTCAGTGGCAAATATATTTTTCCATGCAGTTGATTCCCTTTTCATTTTGCTGATATTTTCTTTAGTCGTGCAGAAGCTTTTCATTTTGATGAAGTCCCATTTGTTTACTCTTGCCTTTATGTCCCTGCTCTCAGGGACATATTGGTGAAAATATTGCTGTGTGGAATATCTGACATTTTCCCACTTATGTTCTCCTCTAAGACTTTTATCGTATTGTAATTTATATTTAAGTGTTTTATCCACCTTGAGTTTATTTTTGTGTATGGTATAAGTTGGTGGTCGAGATTCACTTTTCTTCATGTAGCTGTACAGATCTCCCAACACAATTTGTTGAAGAGGTGATTTTTACTCCATTTTATACACTTGTCCCCTTTGTCAAATATTAATTGACCATAGATATATCAGTTTATTCCTAGGCTATCTATTCTGTTCCATTGATCTATGTTTCTGTTTTCATGTCAGTACAAGTCTGTATATTTTACATTGGCCTTGTGATACAGTTTGATATGATAACATATCAATCTTTGAAAAGTCTGTTCTATATTTGTGAAATATGTCACTGGTATTCTAATAGGGATTGCATTGAATCTATAGCTTGCCTTGGGTAGTATGGATATTTTAATGATATTAATTCTTCCAATCCATGAAAATGGTATATGCTTCCATTTATTTGTGTCTTCCTTAATTTCTATCCTCAGTGTTACATAGGTTTCTGAGTATAGGAATTTTAACTCCGTGGTTAATTTTATTCCTGTACTTTATTATTCTAGTTCCTACAGCAAATGAGCTTTATTTTACCCTGATTTCTGTTTCTGATATTTCATTGTTTGTATACAAAAAATGCCTTTGGTTTCTGAATATTGAATTTAATCGCACTGTTTAGCCAAATTCACTTATTGGTCGAGTGGCTTTTTGGTGGAGTCTATACGGTTTTCTATATACACTATCATGTCATCTGCCAACAGTGACAATATTACTTCCTCCCTTCTAATGTGTTTTCTTTTTCCATTTTTTAAAAAAATATTTATTTATTTATTTATTTATTTATTTATTTTTGTTAAAACACATTTGTCTCCACCTTCCAACCACCACTTTCCCCTGCCCCCCCACACCTCCTTCCCTTGATCCTTCCCCACTTTGTCATTGTCCATGAGTCCTTGATATATGTTCCATACATTGACTCTTCCTTTCCCTTTCTCCACCCACCCCTCTCTCCTCCCCTCTTGAATCTGTTGGTTTCTTTTTTTCTTTCAATGTTGCTGGTCATATTTTCCTTGCTTCTGTGTTCTGTTGGTTAGGTGCCACTTATAGGTGATATCCTATGGTATTTCTATTTCACCCTTGGCTTATTTTGCTTAGCATAATGCTCCCTAGTTCCATCCATGCTGTCGTGAGGTGTAGTACTTCTTTTTTTCTTTCTGCTGCATATAATTTCCATTGTGTAAATGTACCAGTTCTTTGATCCAATTATCTACTCATGGGCATTTAGGTTGCTTCCAACACTTCTTTATTGTAAATTGTGCTGCTATGAACTCTAGGGTGCATATGTTCTTTTTAATTGGTGTTTTGAAGTTCTAGGTTTTAGTACCAGCAGAGGAATCCCTAGGTCAAAAGGCAGTTCTCTTTTTAGGTTTTTGAGGAAATTCCACACTGTTTTACACAGTGGCTGCACCAGTCTGCGTTCCTATCAACAATGTAATCGGGTACACTTTTCTCCACAGCCTCGCCAGCACCTGTTGTTTGTTGATCTGTTTATGATGGCCATTCTGACTGCTGTGAAGTGGCATCTCGTTGTGGTTTTAATTTGCATTTCTTTAATGTCTAGTGATGTTGAGCATCCTTTCAAATGTCTCTAGGCCCTCTCCATTTCTTCCTTGGAAAAGTCTCTGCCCAGGTCTTTTGCCCATTTTTTAATTGGATCATTTGTCTTCTGGGAGTAGAGTCATGTGAGTTCTTTATATATTTTGGAGATCAACCCTCTATCTGATGTATCATTGGCAAATATATTTTCCCATATGGTTGGCTCCCTTTTCATTTTGCTGATGTTTTCTTTAGCAGCACAGAAGTTTCTTATTTTGATTAAGTCCCACGTGTTTATTCTTTCTTTTATGTCCCTTGCATTAGGGGACATATCGGTGAAAATATTGCTGTGTGGGATACCTGAAAGTTTCTTGCCTATGTTCCCCTCTAGGACTTTTATGGTGTTGCAACTTATATTTAAATCTTTTATCCATCTTGACTTTATTTTTGTGTAATGGTGTCTGCTGATGATCCAATTTCAATTTTTTTGCAAGTAGCTGTCCAGCTCTCCAAAACCA